CCTCATCCTAACATCATGACTACGGCTACAGCATCTGCTCAACAACATCCAGAAGCAGTTCCAATTATGAATCATACTGCACACAATTTTGACCCATTAAACCAACAACCTGCAGGACAACGCTCCCAACAACCTGGAGACATATCGTCAGACCAAAACAGAGGTGCACCACAGAGTATACAACCCATCAACAGCATTGGACTTCCTACTCACTCATCCAAAGGAATCCCACAGAAGTGCAGAACTCCTGAACACTCCTCTCATCCAATCATGCACGATCAGACTCATCATGTTACATCTGCCTCAAACTCAGAGAAGCCAGTTCATCACACAAAGTGTGCAACAGTTCTGAACAAAATGTCTAATCGTAGGACAGAGGTATATGACAAATGCCAACAATTGGGACACTTCTCAATCCCTCCCAAAGATGATAACATCACAGTAGAGGAAAAGAACCACCTTTTTCAGGAGATGAGCCTCACAGAACAACCACCAGATCAGCTTCTTCAGGAGGAAACACTCCTAATAGAGAGAATATCAGAATAACAACCTGTAACATAGAGGGAGTGAGATCAAATACATCTTTCCTCCAGCTCCTATCTCAAGACTCACACATTGTATGCCTGCAAGAACATTTTCTCTGGGATTGCCAATCAAGTATACTACACTCAATTCTCCCTGACCACGATAATCATACTAGATGCCATGACACAAACGAACCGTTATCAGGTTTTAAACTCCCTAGAGGTCGTGCAGGAGTATCTATCCTATGGCCAAAACAATGGAACAGCCAAATTCAAAAGCTTCCTGACGGAAATGAGAGGGTGATAGCTATTCTGATTTCATAAGACGTGGACGTATGTCTAATAAACGTCTATATGCCAACTATGGACAAAGACTCGTCTTACGAATATGGAGAATGTCTCGACCTCATTCTTAACATAGCAACAAAATATTTGAATACCCATGCTATTATATTATGTGGGGATCTGAATGGGACAATTTTACAAACCAGAAATAATAAACATGATCAATTATTAAAGGAATTCATACAAGAGCTTAACTTTACTGCTGATAAAGATAAATCTGACAGACAAACCTTCTTCCACCATTCAGGACAATCAAGCTCCCAAATAGATTATATCTTCTCCTCTCAAGAAAATCTGTTTAAAAAGTATACAATCTGGAATAATTCATCTTCAAATGTATCAGCTCATGTGCCAGTATCAGTGACGACTAACATTATCATCCCCACTGGTGTAAACAAAGCCAATAAAGAAATTCAAATAGTTCATAAGCTTCAATGGGACCAGACCGATCTCCCTATATATATAGAATCCGTCCAGAATGAAATCTCAAAGCTACAACTGACTCAAAAACCACCCTACAGCATCCAAAATATCACAAAAGCCTTACTTACAGCCTCAAACAAAGCAGTACCAACCAAACCCATTAAACTGAAAGGTCCAAAATGGAAGGCATCACCTAGAGTCAAAAAACATCTAAAAAATTGCAAACAGCTATACTCAAAATGGAAATTTGAAGGCAAACAACCAGACCACCCTTTCAGGAAACAACTAAAAGCAGAAAAGAAAAAGCTCCGCAGTCAGCAAAGAAAGGAACATGCTGAAGATAGATTGAATTTATACCAGCAAATTATGGATAATCCATCCACAGACTTATTCTTCAAATTAATCAATAGGAATAGATCCAAACCTAGAACAAATTCAACAGGTATAGACATAGAGGGTGAATTAGAATTCAATCCTACTATACAGAGAAAGGCATTCGCAAAGTACTATGAAGATCTCAGTATCCCAAAAGAATCAAAATTTGATAACTCATATTTGGAACTATGCCAAATAAGGCAGCGACTCGTGGAAGAAGTTCTATATAACCAACAAACAAATATAGAACCATACAAAGAAGATGACATCTCCAAAGCTATAGACAACCTAAACACTGGCAAATCCCCAGACGAGTACGGCTTATGTGCAGAACATCTAAAACTTGCTAAAGAAACAGTCACTCCGACGCTCACAAATATATTTAATAATATACTCAGTAATAAAGCAGTCCCAACAGAATTGAAGTCTGGAATTCTAACTCCAGTACTTAAAAAGGAAAAAAATCAATGTCTAATATCCAGTTATAGAGGAATTACTGTAACCCTTGTAATCTCTAAACTCCATGAACTCTGTATTCTTGGCAAACTCAGTATTACTCCTAACACTGAACTACAATTTGGATTTACAGAAGGGCTATGTCCACTAATTGCTAGTCTCATTATATCAGAATGCAAATGTGAACGGAAAAACAACTCTCTCTATCTGGCTACTGTTGATGTCCAATCTGCCTTTGATGTAGTCCAGCATCTGATACTCCACGACAAAATGCTAGATAGGAATATACACCAGATCTATGGCTTGTCATCAAAGATCTATACTCTGGCATTACATCTAAAGTCAAATGGCAAGGAGAACTTAGCGACAGCTTCAATATACTCCAAGGAGTCAGGCAGGGTGGAATATTGTCAACCCATCTTTATAAGATATTTGTAGAGGATCTCCTAGTAGAATTAGAGAAAAATGCAATAGGATTTAGTCTTGGAAATATATACTGTGGAACGCCTACCTGTGCTGACGACATCGCCCTGATAAGCTCTAACCCAGCAGAACTACAAATAATGGTAAACACCATTGGAAGATATGCAAATCAACATCATTACAATATCCATCCAACAAAATCGAAAGTCATCTGTTACGGATCTGCAAAGAATCACAGCACAAACACCTGGAACTTATCAGAAAATATAATTGAACTCTCAAATGAAACTACCCATTTAGGCCTTAAAAGATCAAGTAAAAAAGAAAATGAAATAAATATAGAAGACCGTGTAAAATCTGCTCGAAGAACAAAATATGCCCTTATGAATTCAGGACTTCATGGTACAAATGGACTAAGTCCTAAAATCTCATACACAATATATAGAACATATGTGCTACCAAGACTACTATATGGCCTTGAAATCCTTTCTCTAACAAAAACTCAGATTCAGATTTTGGAGAGGTTCCATATTGGTACACTGCGTGCAAAACAAGCTCTTGCCACGAGGACAGCAAAACCGGCGGTATACTTACTTCTTGGAGTTCTCCCTGTAAAAGCAGAAATTCACAAGAGGAAATTAACATTTCTACACTCCCTTACAACCTGCTCCAACAATAAAATTAAAGAAATCCTTAACAGACAAATTGCAGTGAACTTTGACAACAACAATAGCTTCTTCTTTCAAACTGCCTTATTACTATCAAAATACAATCTACCGGACATTTTTGACAAAAACATTCCAATTCCATCAAAACTATCCTGGAAGAAATTAGTAAAAACAGAAATCTCATCCTTCTGGACCCTCAGACTTAAAGAGGAAGCTTTCCAAATGTCATCTTTAAAATTTCTGAACCTCAACTTTGGCATGGAAGAATCAACTCATCCTGTATGGGACTCAGTAGGTCAACATATGATAGAAATTCGAAAAGCCACTACAAACGTAAGGATGCTGACAGGGACCTACATGGTGCAAGCCGACAAACATAAGTTCAGCCAATATACAATTGACCCCACATGCCTGCTATGCCACAGGGAAATAGAGGATATCTTACATGTCCTAACAACTTGTCCTGTTCTAGGCAGTGAGAGATAAGAATACTTCACTCCGATTAAACAACTTGTGACTGAAAACTCTCCTCCTGGAACATGGAAACTGCTGTTTAACAATAAACTAGCAGTTACGCAACTTGTACTGGACTGTACAAAATATATCGAACAACTTGGATTCAAAGAAGAGTTAATGCATAAACTGGAAACGCTTACAAGACACTTCTGTTTCAAGCTTCATTACCAAAGAGTATCTCTTCTAAAAAAGCTAGACGACTGACAATTGTCATTAAGAATTGGATGATGTAATATAGACAATGGAAAAGTGAAATATTAGAAGAAAAAAAAACTTTGAACTATAAAAATTGTTACTGTATATATCGTTCCAACTATTCTGTAACAAGTGCTTTTCTTTTTATATAACTTTAAGAAAGCTGTCTGCTGGTAAAATGAATGACTAATTATTTGGGTTATATGACCTTCTGTAGATTGGTTTTATCATTTTCATGTTTATCATTGTATATTTTATCTACTATGATTTCTTTTTTACATTTCACTGTCAATGTATAGCGCACCACCATTGGATTTTACCTTGATGTAATATATTTTATCCCTGTTTCTTCCCCCTATTGAATATTTTAATATTACCCGCTAAGGGGTGTTCCTTATAATAGGAAGCTCATACGAAGAAAAGAAGAAGATTGGATAAACGAAGAGAAGATCGAAATGTTTTCATAAACACGTGTACCTTTTGAGCAACGGAAAATTCAAACAAGGATCCATTACAGCTACTTGATGCAGGGCTCTATTTTTAGAACGAAAGGACATTTCCAATTATAAATATTATAAAAATAGATTTACGCGACGACTGTAATCAAGTAAGGGTAAATAACGCAAACGATAGCGAATAAAAGCGTTAAGAACCCATGTTTTTGGCATATAATTGGGTTTTCCTTTGAATTAATTGGGTTATTGAACCCTGCAATGGGCAATTGCATTGGGTTTTTAATTATTTTTATTGCGTGATCACGCAAATACGCAGCTTATCTGGAGCTCTGCAATCATATAAAAACTAAGGAGGTCAGCCAAAATATGAAGTGTAGAGAAAGTGCATAAAATTACATTATTCATGTTATTATGAAAGAGCACAAAAAAAAACAAGAAATTCATTGGTGCCAAAATTTTGGGATTCGGTCAAGCGGTTCAAAAGTTATAACCTAGTCCAAATAATTATGACGTCTGGCAAGGTTATTTTAATTTTTTTCTGGGACGCCTTCTTACGAATTATTTGGACTAGTTCATGTAGTTATAACCATGATAACACAACAATTCAACATATTATTTACCGTCTTAAATGACAAATTTCAGTCTTGACAAGCAGATAATAGCTTCTTCTAGTTTTCACGGTATAAACAGTATAATTCTATCCATATATTTTTCACTCCAGTTTGTAGAGAACATTTTCTCATCATAAACTTACTTCAGGGGAATATAAGTAAGGGGGAAGGAAACCAATGATACTATGCTTGGAAGATTTCGTTCGAACCTCTCTGGGTTTGACTATAATTTATGAGAAAATATCAGAGCTGTTCGAAAAATAATTTTTGTCATGCTATTGGTTTAAAAGTTTTGACGGAAGTATGACAATAAGTTATAACATGAATATTTATATATTTGAACTCTGTTTTTCTATCACTAAAGGGTTAATACACAGTTTTGTTTATCTAGGCGGCGTAATATGAGGCAGGTGTTACCTGTGAAAGGGGACGAAGTCAGAAAACCTTTACAATCCCGTTAAGGTGGTATGGGAGTATGAATTAAAAATTGATAGAATTTTTTCTTACCATAGGCGGATCCGGGCCCCCCCCCCCTTTTTTGGGAAAAATTTGGTTGATCATTTAGGGAATAACTGAAGCATGACTTGAGCGGGCCCTCTTAAAAGGTCAGACAGTGCTCCCCATCCCCCCCTTATGAAAAGTTCTGGATCCGCCACCGCATACTTTGCTTAAATGTAGTATATATATTGTGATATGTTCAAAAATACAATAAAAAATGATAGGTTACCGAGCATTTTCTGAAGCTACAGGTTGTGACAAAATGACACATTATACAGGGAAAAACATCATTAATTATGCGATTAGAAGCTACATGTAAACTGAATGATAGAATTGTAAAATAAATACGAGAAGACAACTTTTGGAAAATGCTTTGATAATATTATAAGAAAAGATAGGACCACTGTACAATTTTTCGGGCTAAAATATAAAATAGCAAAATTTAATTTAAATTCCTTCAGAAAATTTCAGAGTTACCTCACCTTCAATTCATATGATTTAGATTTAAAAATGGATACCTTTTCATATATTGCGTATGTGAAAATGTAACCTTTTCCCATATTGTTTGGGTTTCATGTGGTGTGTAATGTAGGAGTGGAATACCAAAATGTCAAAAATGAAAACTTGGTTGATTAAAACACAGCAGGGAACACCAAGAACGGTGCCAGACGAAGAAGTTATGGGAACTTTATTGACCTTATCATATTTTTCTGATATTTTCCCGACCATTACACATATTTTCAAGCTTGAAAAGGTGACCAATTCCAGCGGCACATCATATCACCTTGTATACAGGAAGTGCCACTAGTAATCTCAATTTATATGGAAAATGTGGAAGGTGATATACGATACTAATAAATATGGATGCCTTGGAGACATGTCAGACACACCAATACAATAGACAATAAAACTATTGAAGCTAGTAAAAACTTGAACAGTTCTATGCTTTCGAATGGCAACTATTCAATGTCTCAAATAGCTTATAACAGTTGTCTTCTTAAAACGTACAGAAAAAAAGTAAAATTAACTGACGACTGCTAAAAAAAAACACAAAAAAACAAACATGTCGAGGCCTTTAGTTTTCTCGTTTGAATTGTTTTACATTTGTAATTTCAAGGCTATACTGTATGGGTTTTTCTCTTTTTAGAAGGCTATACGGTTGCCTGTAATTGTTTATATCCACTTCATTTGATCTTTGGTTGATAAAAATTTAAAATAAGATATCGTATGATTGCCAATCCAACAACTCTCCATAAGAAATCAAATGACACAGAAATTAACAGCTATATGTCATCGTACGGCATTCAACAATGAGCAAAGTCCATACTGCACAGTCAGCTATAAAAGGCTTCAAAATTACAAATGTAAAACAATTTAAAGGAGAAAACTAACGGCCTAATTGATGTACAAAAAATGAACGAAAAACACATATCATGTAACACAGCAACAAACGACAGCCACTGAATTACAGGCTCCTGACTTGGGACAGGCATATACATAAAGTTGTCTCATTTGCAATTACACCACATCTCCTAATTTTTTTAACATCTGAAAAACATCACACCATAAAACAGTATAGAAATGGGCTTAAGTCATATAAGTGTTACAGTTTCAGCTTCTATATACATAGAGTAGAAACACTCTAACAGTGGTCATGAAAGTGTCTTATTTTCTTGCTTCAGACTTTAAACTCTGATTGAAGGTTGTAAAATTCAATATACATCATATCTCATTGGGATGCATGACCTTTGAGCAATGGGTTTGCAAGTGGCTACTGTGAATGTAGAAGGTGATAACATAAAAACATTGGTTTAAATTTGTGTGACAAGGTAAACGTTGCTAGAAATAATCATTTTTCATTGTTTCTTCACCATGTTTACTGCATCGCGTTACAATACAAATTTCTCACTTCTTGCTAATAGATCTGGTGATGTGAAGTTGATTTCTCTTTTTTCTTCTCATTGTATCATTTTCCTTTTTTTACTCTTTTGTGATGGTAAGCCATCATGCATGTTATTGTATATATAAAACAAAAGTTGTGTCAATACCTCAGTGTAACATGTAGGTACATTATGAAGATATGCGGTTGTAAATGACACATTCTATGTAGAATGATTTTATAATTTTGAATAAGAAAAATATATGTTCATTGTCATTATTAAAAATTCAGCTTCGTTTCGGTGTCACTTCTTTTTCTTTTGGCAGTAAGTTTGTCACTAATAAAATTATTGAAATATATGATAAAGAAGAGTTGTTCTGCGAGTTCATTTTTGAAATTATTTATTAAAAGGTATGATTTAAAACTAAAAGATGTATTTTTTTGTTAATTGTCTGCGTTTAATTTTTTTTTATGTCATACAATGCTTATTTTTTATTCCTTGAAAGTTGTTTTGTATTTTTTTTTATAAAAAGGTATAACCTAACTTCAGAATCTGTTGAAATAGAAACGGAAATACCGCAACGTTTCCGATGTTGGTTCTATTGTTAAGACATTATGTTGTGACGTCATTTGCAATGTAAACAAAGAAACGCTGTCAGGTAACGTTTTTTATCATATCAAAATCTGAATTAAAAGAATGTATATTTAAATGGTTAAAAAGACTGAAAACTCTGCTATTTAAATGTAAACGAAAAGACGTTTTGCTATGAAGCATCGAGTTGTTAAGGTACAGATCTGTACCAAAACCAACGTGTCACAGTGATCCTTAATCATAGCGATCACCATTATATGACTTCATACAACTTTGAATATGCATGTCTTTTTGTTAAAAGTATAACGAAAAAACAACAAACATTAAAGCCAAGTCAACCATGAATTATAAAAAGGACATTATAAGAATACAAATGTTATTGTTATTGTGTTGTCGTCCATACTCTTTCCGGTAATCATACATATTAATTTTCGGGAAATCGTATGACATATATTGCAGCGTCCGCCAGGGGAAAATGCAACTGTTTGAAAAAGTTCGAAAAACGTTTACGATTATGATTTTATTAGTATATTGATTTTTTATTTAGATTTTTAGTAGTTTTATTGATTTGCTTACTGATGTAAGGTACGTCCCCATAACATTTTACCTAAATCCCGAGCCAAAACGATACCGGAAAAGATTTCTGCGCAGATGCGGGAAAATAAAAAAAGTCTGAAAAAAAAAGTTAAAAAAAAGTTAACGATTTTGAGTTCATTAGTACAATGAAAATTTCGGGAAATTTTCCCGATTTTTTTTTTTTTTTTTTTTTTATTGATTTTTCTACTGTATGATAGGGGACTTCGTCCCCTTAATATGAGGAATGTGCTACCTTGAATGCCAGCTTACCAAGACTATGTCCTACATATTGATTGATTGTTGGTTTGCTTAACATCCAGTGGCAAATATTTCATGCATGTTCAGGACGAATGTCCTACATATAGTTTTTGTCTAAAATAAAATAATAAGTTCAGATGGAAAATGTTAAGGAAACGATCATTGAACTTCAAAAGGCAGGATGGAGTATGTTTTTTTTTCTTCAAAAATATTCTGATTCCCAAATTGATGAAAAAAAAATATTCTAATCAAGCAGAGGACAAAAAAATATTCTGAATCCAGATTATCCCCATACCTTCTAGTGTTAATTTTTGACCAAATAATTTTGATTGATAGCGTTGAAGCCCTTTGCGTGAAAAAAAATCTAACTCAAACAAAAAAACATACCCGGCGCCCTTTTGAAGCTACAAATTTTACAAAATTTAAAACAATAAGACATTTGTTTAATTTCAAAACTATGAATACTGTTATACAATCCATAACTTTATTAAATTAATTTTTTAGTTGATTTTCATGAAAAGGTGGAGGATTTGGAATATCTTTTCCATCAATATCTAAAAGTTGCAGCTGTTTTTTTATTTAGTATTGCAAACAACGCTTTCTGTTTGTTGAATTACTTTTACTTTCTAAATTAGCTGGATGTTCATATTGTATTCCCAGTTTCCTGTATCTCATAGAATCATGTGCATAACAGTGTAGCCGAGACCATTGATTGGCGCGCAAAAATATCCCATTGACTGGGTCAGATTAGGTGAACGTTCGTCTGTAACGCCCAAAACTCACGACGTATTTATTATAGACATTTAAACTGTGAGGTCACCAAAGGGTCTCAACGCCTAAATAAAATAATTCGAAAAACTAATCAGGAATAACCTTTGTGTTTTGATTTATATTGAATACTTACACTGAACTGCGGTCAAGCTTAGCGAAAGGTCGTGCAACATAATCAGTCAAACAAACTTTATTAGATTAACTCGTTAAGGAACGATCGTTTTCATTGGTCAATTCAAATCTTCGAGCTGACACCTGCGAAAATAGAACACGCGTACTATAAAGCTGAATGGACTGATCAGTATTCACGTAGCCGGTCAAGGTCGTTAAAAACTTCCATCGTTGTATTCCCGAACATGATTGTGTTCTTGATTATCGCATGGCAATTCTAGCTTTTATACATGTGCATGTAAAATTTTAAACTTTAATCTTAACAGTCACGTCGAAATATTTAATTCAACTGTCTCCTCTCAATTGGTCCTGGATTAAGGGAGCTACCATTTTATTTTGATTGGGGGTGAAGGACTTGGATGAAACATTTTGTCCTGCATTTTTTTTAGTTGTTATCTCTGTCCTGTCTTTCTATTTTTCAGTCTGTTAGGTCATGACTATATTTATTCGTTTATCCTGATTTTTTACATAAATCGTCATCCTGCCTTTTTTTTGTCAAGTTGCTCACCCTGCCTTTTTTTTGTCAAGTTGCTCACCCTGCCTTATCTTTTATTCAATGGACTTGATGAATTAACGTTGTACTTGAAATGAAACCGTA